TCATTGATTTGTAAAAATTGTATGCATTTTGATCCCTATGTTAATTTATTATATTTTTCTTTTCCATGTAAAAAATATTGCAATTCTCATTGATGGAAATTTTGTTTCGAAATCTTTACAATTCATAACGCAAAGCGAAGTTCGTTAGTTAAAAAATCGTTAGACTTTTACAAACAGGTAAGCCGCTTTTACGTTGCTATAAATTCAGTTTTTTAATGATTTTTTTTAGAGTATTCCTACACCCTATCAATCACACAGGGATTAAATAGCAAATATTTTCCATAAATAATTAAATCTACAGAGTAAAGAGTTTAATTTGCAAACTTCATTTAAAATATAAAATACCTGTTCATTCCACTTTTTATCACCATTAAATGAGAAATTGAATACTCATGTAATTTGTAAAAATCTCTGTTCCTCTGCAAGTTCGAATCGTTAGTTTCGATCGCTATAAAAATATGTCACGAGACTATCGAATCAATTGCCGAGTCTCATTTTTATGCTTCCGAATTCGTGATTGGCTCTTAGCGATTGCATTAGTATTAGTGCAAGGCTAAGCTTGCATAGAGTTGCAGTAAAAGTGTGATCCGAGTGAGTTTGCGTCTTAGCTGCATTCACTCTGTGTGTGTGAGAGAGCAAGAGAAACATTGATAGCTGTGGCTGAACGCCGTGCCGACTATTGCTGAGTGCGAGCGAGATGGCTATTGAAGACATTCGAACATGCTCGTTATGATTGCCAGAGGACGAATAGAAAGCGACTTAGAATTGGCGTTCTTGAAAAGCTCTGTGAGAAAGAAAGAAAGAGAGAAAGCACTCTGGGGCGATTGGATATTGAGAGCAGTTTAATAAAATGAATGTGGAAAGTGAGCAAATTGAGGCAGCTCCTACATACATATATCTTTTTACATACGTAGTTACGTTATTTCGAACATCTAATTGAATATTTATTTTCTAGACAGGTTAAGAAATTTAACAAGGTTTCGTTGAAATCAATATTTCTTTATTGCATTGCATTGATGTTTCAATGATGCTCAAATATATGTATATGTACACATATGCAAGACTCACTGAATTTAAGTTCTCTCTACAAGTTAAGAAAGTTTTGTAATTCCTTTTGATCCTCTCTGTAAGCACTTAATGTTAAAACATTTTCAAAAAGAAATTTTATGCCAGATGCAGTTATTTCAAGTTCATACGTAATTTGAAATTAATAAATAAAGCCGTAGCTTCCTAAGAGATTCAAACATTTTACTCGAGGCTGTGCAAAAAGCCTGTGCCATGCGGAAAAGGTGTTGGTCTTAATTGAAACTGAAAAGCTCGTAAGCCTTGAACTGGCCTCAACCGCAACAGCAATAGCAATAGCAACAGCAACAGCAAGAAACAAAGAACTTTAAGAACTGAACTGAACTAAACTAAACTAAACTAAAGTTCGTATAAAGTAAAGTTGTCCAGTGGCCTGGTCACGCCTGTCACATGGGGCAGATTCAAGGCGTGTTTTTGTGTCTGTTTCTGTTGCTGTTTCTGTTCTACCCTCTTTGTTTTATTTTATTATTTATTTACGATGACAACAGCATGCCCTGTACCCAGGCAAGCGCCACAGTGGGTCGCACATAAAAACCTATACGCATTTCTCAATTTTGAATGCAAATTCGGAACAGTTTTTCATAATATTGAAAATCTAGTCATATATATTGTCTGATTCATATAGATTATCAGAGCTGCATTGTAATATTATCATATAGATATAGGGTATCGGCTAGTTAGGCGCACTCGCATATTTCTTAATGCCTCTGTATTTGTGTTCTCTGCTAGTCCTCTTCTAGGCGAATGTAACTCGTATATTTTCGCTTTTGTTTTATTTTCTGTGTTGCGTTTAGGCGTCAAAAGTTTGATCCATTTTTATGTGCGGGCGAGCAATAAATTGAAACGCCAAATTTGCTAGCGAAATGCTCAACTGTTTGTCAACAGACAACAACAATAACAACAACAACAACAACAACAACAATAACAGCAACTAAAACAACAAAGCATTGAAACATGACATTTGGGGATCCAAACCAAAGTAAACACCAAAACCAAATAAAACTCCTCGCCATAGAAAAAGTTGTTTAGTTTTGTTTTATTTTTTTGGCGGCTAGCGAAATATTATGTCGCACCCACAATACCCTCTATATATTGTCTGGCACTCTTTAGCATATAATAAATTGCATTTGCGGCACAATTATAACTGATAAATAGTATTATTACCTAGGCACTAATTCAACTTGAAGTCTTTGTCCTGTGTTTTACAAGTTTAATACTCCGAGTATGCGCACTCTCATACCCTGTAGCTACAATATTTATATATAATCGAAAGAATCTATGTGTATGCATTTCGAATATCTCGTACCTGAAACATTGTCCCCATATACATATATAGCAACAGCCTTATATGACTTTCATTTCATTTGATTTCACTTTTACTTTTCACTGCAGGGTATTTGATGCGCCATCATGGCGTTGCGTCATGAAAGTAATTGTGATTTATATGCTCTGCCAGGCCAACGACATAACATATCGACCCATTTTCCATATCCTTGCTACTATTCCTGTTTCTGTCCTTGCCAATGTCAGCGAATGGAGCCGTGTAAATTGCTCCATGAGTAGCATTAGACGCGAGCTCCACAAGTGCATATTAGCGCGGGGTGCTCGTATATAGGCACACACACACACACACACTCATAAACGTACGGACAACTGCAGTTAGTGTGTTATCCTTGTTGTTGTCGCTGATGTTGTTTGTGCTCATTCATTGGCCACAAGTGCGGACTCGCTGTGTAACATCCTTCCGGCATAAAATTGCTCTGACACGCCACATTGTTGTTCTAGTCGATGTTGGATGGCGCACAGCTCGAGCCCGCCACCAGCCCAGTCGTCCCGTCCCGCCCCGGCCCGGCCAAGGTGCTAAGAGCCATTCGTGTCCGTCCCAATGCACTCGCTTGAGCAGGGACGACGCGTTGCCAATTTGACGTTGCAGATGCTTAAACTGCTGCAGCTACTGCGCTGCTCTAGACTGTGCAAATGTTTTACCCTTTTGCGACTTAAAGTAGAAAGTTCCCAGGAATACAGCTATAGGCATACATCTATAATAACAAAGAGATATTTCTAGATATGCATTGTCATCTAGAGCTGAGCGCCTGCATTTATCTTAGCGAACTGGGATTTCGCTGAAGTCGGCCATTTTAGAAACTTCTCTAAATGGAAACAAAATGCTAAAAATATTATTTCCGTGACTCCTTGGTACGAGTGACAGAGTCAACTTAATTGCACCATATACACTACAATTTGGCTCTCCCTCGTATGGAATTGCGGCATTATTAAGTTGTACATTGGCTTCTGGCCCGGCTTTGTTGGATGCCTTAGCTAGTTGAAGAGCACACTGGCAGTCCCCCTCCCCCCCTGCACACACACACACAGACACACGCATACAATGGGACTGCTGTCTGAATGTCTGTTGCTAAACAACAACCGATTGTTGACTGTGTGTGTGACTGTGTTTGCACAGTGGTTCAAGTTTCAATCAGAGCATTTTGCGGAATTGTTGCAAATGCTGAAACTTAATATATGCTTAGACAATGCAGTTAGCTTAAAACACATACGCTTGAGAGAGGGAGAAAGACTGAGACAGGGAGAGCGAGAGAGAGACAGGAGAGCGAGAATGAGAGAAAGATGTTTCAGTTGAAGATGAAATAGATGAAAAGGTAATGCGGAATGAAAGATAAAGCTAGAGAGAGAAGGAGGTGTCGAGAGAGCGTGAGGAAGAGAGAGAGAGAGAAAGAGAGAGAGAAAGATAGTGAGAGAGAGATAGTCAGTAATAGACTGACATAGAGGTAATAGTGGATATAGCAAGGGAGATAATGAGGGAGATCGAGACATAATGGCAAATAGATGCGAGAGAGAGAAGAAGAGTGAGTCTCGCAGAGAGAAAGAGAGATAGAGTGAGAGAAAGGAAGAGGAAGAGAAAGAGAGAGAGAGTGGAAGAGGTAGAGCAAGAAAAAGAAAGAGACAGTAATAGAGAGAGGAAATGGAAAGGCAGGTAGAAGAAGAACGAGACAGAGAGAGAGAGCTAAAGGAGAGAGAGATAGATATATAGATAGATGGATAGGGAGAGAGAGGAAACGAAGGGCAGAGAGAAGGAGGAAAGAAGGCATTGAGGGAGAGACAGTGGAAAATATCACGAGAGAGGAAGAGAGCGAGTTGCGGCTAGAGTGGAGAGAAAGAGAGATGTAGCAAGAAATATATAGAGAAAGTGATACCGGAAAAAAATACAAATAGATATAGAGAAGGAGAATCATAGAAAGATGGGGAAAGATTTTAGATTATTATTGTCAGATCTCAGCACATTCCAATGGCGACTTCATTTCACTTCAACATATTTGATTGAATTATGCAAATACACCAAACTCGTAAGCTAGCTGATCAAGTCTATTACGATAAATAGTTCGATTGTCGGTTGACCATTGATGTATTTACTATCAACTTCTATATGATTGTGGTTAAATTATCAGACCCTATGCTGGGTACATAAGCTGTTAATCTGTGAATAAAGCAGCTTCTGAGCTAACAGTACAATTGTTGCACAGCATTTCCGTTAGCACTAATCCCAGTTGCACAGTGCAGTTGTAGCTTGGGTAAAACGCTGTCAGCGCGATGTCGTTCCTGTTTCTGTTCAGCTCGTCACTCCACTTGGAGCGTGCTGTGTGTGTGTGTCTGAGTGTGTGTAAGTAGCAAATATATTGCAAGTTACTTTCAAGCTCTGGAAAATATGAGTTTACGGCAACAATAAGCGATATATGTATATACACACACACACACACACACACATCTATACATATATGCGATAAATTGTGTGGAAATGGTGTCTGCTTTTGGAGCAGACGTCACTTAAGTCGCTATTCTGTAATTTCACGCAATTTCCATGTGTAGAGCCGCGAGCTAGTGACAAATTTGGCGGCGAGGCATGAATAATGTGGCAACATTAATCAGAGAGCCGGCTCGAACGGTGTGGGTAGGGGCGGAGAGTCGAGTCGGAACGGTACGAACGACAGCCAGATTAGAGGCCACAAAGCGTGCAATCAATCGCTTGACTTACCTGAAAGCCAACCAGACTCCAGACCTCCTCCTCGGTGGAGAATACACAGGCGGTGCCAGCGCGTCCATGATACTGGTAGATCCTCACCGAATGGGCCAAAGCAACGGGTATAGCAGTTGTCACAATCGTTATCCAGGCACACATAATGGCGCTGTGTGTGTGTGTGTGAGTGTGTGTGTGTTAGCAAGACAAATAAAGGCAAATGTCTTAGGTAATTGATGCCCAATTAGTTGGTTTTGTTAGGCCCTAATGCAGCATCTGTATTCATAATTAAATTGATTTACTCTCGTCTAGTCAATCAGAGCTATGGCTATGGCTGCAGCTCTTTATGAATAGTTTATGAAAATTTCATTTGCATAAATTCGTTTCAAAATATTTTCATTGGCCTTGCAATCTTTTGTTACAGAAAATTTCTACACTGCAGCGAAATTTATGCATAATCGAATAGCTTCCATGAGAATTTCGGAATAACTGAAACCATGAATACATGTAGGATAAGCCTAGTCAGTTGGCTAGATATGAATCTGATTGGAATTGTGCCTACACACACTCGCCCTTAGGCGCCTAAGATGAGCAAACCAATTGGGTCCGAGCTCGGTCAGGCTAGGTGAGGCCCGGACTAATTGACACAATGACACAGGTGCTACAGGGCGGGTCGAGCGATGTTACTTACAGCGTGGCATTGCGTTCGGTGCGTAGGGACATGCTGGTGACGGGATGCACGACGGCCAGGAAACGATCGAAGGACATCAGGACGAGTGTGTAGACGCTGCAGGGCAGAGAAAATACAACAATAAACCATACTCATGCATACACATGCACGCCTGCTGAACAATTCCGGGTCGATGGGCCCGGGCCTAGCTCACCTGCAATGGCATGTGACCACAATCATGTACTGCACAAATTTGCACCACAAATTGCCAAACGGCCATTCCGGCAGCACATAGTCGGTGGCCGTGAACGGCACGCAGAAGATGACGAAGAGTATGTCCGAGACGGCCAGGTTTATAATCAATAGGTTTGTGGTCGAGCGCATTTGTTGGTTAACGACCACCACTAAACGATGCATGCAAAAGAGAGAGAGAGAGAGAGAGAGAGGGAGAGGGAGAGAGAGAGAGAGAGAGATAGATATTAATAGTGGTATTTTCTGCAAGTGCAAGTATCTGATTTTAACATTTGATTTACAGCATACTAAATAAGGCTTTATGGTTAATTATTATTACTCGAATTCGAAGTAGACAATCGAACGAACTTGTGCATGCACTTTTAATTAAGTCAATTAGACGACTTGCTCCCCGTTGACAGAGCAATGGAATGAAGACTTGAGTTAGCCTCTGTTCTGTTCTTAGGCTGGACCACATTAGTAGATTTTATGCTTAGAGCAGTAAAATTCAAGAGAGTAAATACGGAGTACGCAAGTTATCGAAAGGTATATCTGCAACATGCTGGGTTGTCAATGTTCGACTCAGCCATCTGGCAACCCTCAAAGCTGTCATTTGAGATCTGTCATATTAGTAAAGTAAGAAGGCTCTAGTCGAGACTGCTCGACTAGGAGATACCCTAAACCCTCTAAGCTGATACTCTACTCATTCTGCACTTCTTTTATGCACACATACATACACACGCGCTCTGCTGACTGCGCAGTTAGCAGCGACTGCGCTTGGGCTGCGCTGCAGTGTGAGCAATATTATGAGAGATTATTTGTTGAAAAATTTCTTTTGTAGATATACGATCTTAATAAAACTTTCAGAACATAATCATATGGTGAACATGTGTGTACACAAGTCTCTAGTACTTGGAATGCGTTTCTTACGAATCGGGGGCGTGGTATCCAAAATCTGTAAATTACAAAATCTTCGTATCGATCAACTGTATATACACAGTAAATCTGAAGTCTCCACGCTTAAAAGTGTTCAAATTAGGCTGAAAAAACAAAATCAATTTTTCGATTATTCTCGATAAAAAAGTTATCGGATGATTTATCGAAAAAATAGGATAAACTTGTACTGCGTATGGTACACACGAGTATGTATGCCAAATTTCAGCTCTCTAGCTCTTATAACTTCTGAGATCGACGCACTCATACGGACGGATGGACGGACGGATAGGGCTATATCGACTCAGATCGTCACGTTGATCAAGAATATATATTCAAGAATATATACATATATGATTCTTTCTGCCCGTTACATACTTTTTCATAAATCCATTATACCCTGACTTCCCATTTTCAATGGGTTCAGGGTATAAAAAGTGTTGTCAGCAAACCAAATAAATCGATTTTTATCGACAATAAAAAATTTGTACGTTTTTTTGATTAAACAAAATATGGGCAACCTTGCAGAGTTGCCAGATGGATCCGTCGAATATGAACAGCCCTGTAGCTCAACAGCGAATCATCGGAAAATCTGCCTATTTTAAGTTTAAAGCTAAGAAAGATAAGTAAAGGATATTTACAGGAACAATAGAAAAAGGATGTTAACTAACAGAGGACTTGGTCAACTTAGTTGCCACGTTGTCAGTTTGTAGTTGTAAATCTGAAGAGGTTAAAGTCTAAAGTTGTTTCTGGTTTTCTGACCTACAAGTCCGTTGTTTCAATAGCGCCTGAACTTTAGAGCTTATGTAACATAAATTGTAGTAATTCCCATTAAGTTTAGTTTTCTGTTTATCAGCGAAAACGTCTTAGTTTAGCTGAGCTTCAGTAGCAGAGAAATGTGTTCATGGAGACAGATGGACTGCAAGATGGATAACAGGACGGATAGTAGGATGGATAGGAAGACGTACGACAAGACGGAGAGTAAGACGCACGACAAGATGTACAGCAAGACGGAGAGCAAGCTGCACAAAAAGCAGCAAGGCGGATAGTTAGACGGACAGCAAAACGGATAGAGGGACGAGCAGTAGACGGACGGAAAGATAGACAAAAAGTCGGAGGCCACGAAGGGTAGACACTTTGTAAACGGCTATTAAAATGAGCTTGATAAATTTGGACAGTCTCATTTGTGCTCTTAATTGAATTTAATATTTATACCTCTTGAATAGAGCTAAACTATCTTGAGTGTATATATGTATTGTATTTTCCCTATTTTAGTTTGTTGAATGTTTATGTAGAAGTAACCAGCTTGAAGTCTATCATAACACATCATGTTTGCCAGTGTATGCAACGCTCTGCACCTGTGCTTTACGAATAATTCCGGCGTGCTCTGTTTGCTTAGCCGTAAGCCTTTAATTAGAGAGCCAGTGCTATCGGGCTGCAGCCTTCATTGTCAATTTGTTATATATTTGTTTAGATAATGGCATTCGTTGTTATTCATCAATATGTGTGCTTTGGCAATTAGCACCAGCTTTGTTTCCGTTCGCCCGCCGCTCCTGCCCCCCGTCCGGGCGCATATTTGCACTCAACTTCAATTTCGTAAAAGCCAAAGCCGAAGCCAAAGCCTGGCGAATCACATACATGCACGCACTTTGCGGAATGCCTAAGCCGTAAGCAAATTTGGCCAGGGATTTGCAACGTGATATGCGGTAATTGTTTTAATAGAAATTCATTCAATGTCCGCAGACAAACGACATATTAATTTGAGCCAGCTCAGCTGCGGAATGTTCACACTTTGATGCGGCCAAGCGCCATGAATCTTGAATCGAATGGCAGCTGCGAACGGCCAGCACGTCTATCGCTCTAGGCCGACACGGCTCCAATTAATATGCATGGAATTATTTCATTGTTTTCCAATGATATTTTCGTCACTTGAACGAAAATCATTTCAAATGTTTTTGCGTGTGAAGTCGAGTGGAAAATGAATTGCTGAGCAAGTTGAATAAACGACAGCATTTGCTTCGATTGAATGTGTATTTAAATTTGAGAGCTTAATTGCTTTTATATAGTTTTAGCATGTTTCCCTAAATTCAAACTTATTTTGATAGAAAACAATAGTACCTTAAGATAATAAGATTATTTATGTTACGGAGATCTGGAATGCGCTAAAAAGGCATTTATACAAATGAATTCGTGTAGAAATAAATTAAAGAATAATACTTCTAATTGCCCTATAGAATAGAAAGCAAATAAAAAAAACCCATTAAAATAATAATATAGGAATAGTTAATCAATATATAAAATTGTAAAAGAACTAATATATCACTTATAACTATTTTATAGCCTTGCAGAAACAAATCAAAAGCTCTGGCTATTAGAAATAAATCCAAATCTTTTTTAAACCAATTGGGACAAGAATGCACAACACTAGTCTACAAAATATCGTCTATCTGTTACAAAAATTACACTGTTTGACTATAGAAAGTTATACTAGGTCATCCCAGAGATCTAAGAGCCACTGCAGTAGACGCCAGCACCCTCAAGTTGTATAGAGCCGGGGTTCGACTTGAAATACATCAAATATTCCCTCTCACTTTATATAGGTACTACTCCCTACATTCCTACTCCCTACATTAGCTCTGTACACTTAATAAAAGATAAAACTTATCTAGAATAATTTTATAAAACTCAAAAATAATAAACATGCCTATGGATTATCTTCACTTCAAATAGGAAGTTTATGATTATATACCAAAAATATGTTCAATCGAAGAACAAAGTTATAAATTTGGCGAACATATCTATTATTATGATTAATAATGTGTGGATGATTTACCATAAAATTTTAAACTAAACTCAAGAAATACCCGCTCTTGCTGTTAAATGGGTTTTGATCTAGAAAACCTATATATATA